CGGATGAACAAATACTACCACGGGATCAATAAGCCGGCAGTATTCCATAATGTATGAGCCGGAACTACTCTTTAATATATAAGCCGGCAATCTGATGTTAGATCCGGCACTACCAGAGGCGTAGCGAGATGGGGGGGGGGGGGGGGGGCGGGGGGGGGGACATATGTCCCAGGGCGCCGACCTTAGGGGGCGCCAAAATGGGTTGGAAAAATAAATTGAAAGCTTGAGGGGGGTGCAAATCGAAAGTTTGTACCCGGGCGCCGGGAAGGGTCGCTACGCCTCTGGGCACTACTTAATATTATATGAGCCGGCACTACCCTCTAATGTATTAGCCGGCACTACTTCATATTACATGAGCCGGCACTACCCACTGATGTATTAACTGAACTACTTCATATTATATGAACCGGCACAACCCTCCGATGTATTAGCCGGCTCTACTCCATATTATATGAGCCGGTACTACCCTCTGATGTATAAGCCGGCTCTACTCCATATTATATGAGCCGGCACTACCCGCTAATGTATGAGCCACCACCATATCTTTATGTATGTATCCTGCACTACCCTCTGATGTATGAACCGGCACAACATCTTTAAGTATCAGCCGGCAGTATTTTCTGATGTATGAACCCGACACTACACGAAGTTCTGAACGAGTGAGTTGATTTACAATACCCCCTCCCCCCTCCCATTTTTGACAGATCTACCACACTCCGCAAGATTAGTCAAATAACCGCCAATTTACGACCCCGTGGGCTGATGACGGAGGAGTCTTAGGTACATGAGGTGTGTGTGTGTGTGTGTGTGTGTGTGTGTGTGTGTGTGTGTGTGTGTGAGGGGGGTACCAGGTTCCAGACGGGCAGCAGCCGATGTCTGGTGTCAAATGCCAGGTATTTTTATGTCCTTTATCCGCCAAATCCCGTAGCGCGACCAAAATCTCGCGAGACGGCGGCGCTCCACTCTCTCGGGGGCGGCACGCGCTGACAAACACATCCGCTTTTTCATCACTCTTATCACCACCCCCCCACCATCACCTCCTCACCCATCCACCCCCCACCTCTATATTTACTCCCATGATCGTAATCAGATTTTAACAACGGCTATTAATCCCTCCACCCATCCTCATAATTCACACGTTTACATATATATATATATATATATACCTTGAACCCATCCTCACCTTACCCCTCCCACCTTACCCCCCCCTACCCCCACACATCAACGACTGCGCCCAGATGTGTCAACGGTTGCCGTATTTCATAACTCTCCATTAACCCAACTCTGCGATACAATCGCGATAATCCCCTGGAACCTCCGCTGACAGCCTCGGGTCTAACCCCCAGCACCCCACCCCATCAACCGTCTACCTCCCCTCCCCTCTCACCCCCACCCCTTAGATATACCGCTGCATCCACTTTACCTATGCCAGTTTCAGCATTATCTCCGTGTCTTTAATCAATCTTTGAATATCTTTACTTTCACTGCCCCTGGTATTACTCTTCCATTCAAGAGTTACCCCCTCCTGCCCCTTAACTCTTGTTAATACATTTCCTTTTATTCAAGCAAAACGGTTTTGTTGTTTTGTTTCATAAAATTCAAGTCTCCTATGGAATTTGTTGTGTTTTCATATTTTGTTCACGTGTTGCTTGTTTGGTTGGCATGTATCTATTTTCCATGATGTTTTCAAACCTCTATTTGTATAGTCTTTACATTCTATATCTTAGTCTGTCATACTAGATGTATTGTCTGTCATAGTCTTTCAATCTCAAACAAGAGCTGTGTTATACACATCTTTAGCTGTAGTAGATGTTGGTTGCTCAAGCACTTGGTTCTTGTGCTGATTGGCTAAATGAATTTAAATTTGACTTAGCTATGCAGCAAAGTAAAGTACCGTTTCGAACCTGACGGTCCACGAGGCAGGAGAAGCAGTGTTTACCTGTTTCAGTGCCCTCGGTATAGTAAGTGATAGTATGGTCAGCACTATGCTTTTACTTTCATTAATGTGAGTCGGTTACCCATCAGAGCTGGGTGGACTCAGGGACGTTTTACTGACACGAACCTGGGATTCGAACTTGAAACTTAGCAATCGTATGCTCTACCATCCGACCACGCAGTCCATGTGTATTTATAAAATATATATAAACAAATATACAGACATAGATTATTTTCTTTACAAAGATAAAAAGAATTCATCCATTCAGTAAAGAAAGAAAAAAAAAATCGAATGTAATAACCTTAAGAACGGCAGTATTAAAAAAACAGAGTCAATGAATGAAATATGAATGAAAAAGTTTTGAAAAAAAAACACCTTGAGATAGATGCTGGCATCACTATCTGTATCAGCCGTCCGGTACTCAGGGTCGGGGTATAAACGAGATTAATCCCTGGATGTGAAACTTTGGTGAGCGGACGTACAAGTAGGCTACTATAAATACGGCGCGTGTGGGGGGAGAAACAGAGATGGGCACGGTGTTGGGTTTTAATAGACCGGTGAAATATGATGTTTTTTTTTCTTTTTCTCGGGGGTACGTGTTAGTGAGAACTCAAGTTTTAAGACTAGAGGAGATACTTGTTTATTTGGGAGATGGTGTTGCCGTGGATAGTTTATGGTGTCTGGTGGTAGCGTTGGTGGTGCGGTGGTTAGTGTAGGATTTGTTTAGTAGTGTGAAGACGGGTCGTGAATGTTTGACGAAAAGATTTTGTGTTCGTGGATTAATTAAATGGATATCCGCGGAAATTTGAATTCCTAATTGTGAGGTTCATGTTTGTAGTGATTTTTATAAAAAACAAAACCCTAAACCGGAGGCTTTTTAATAATGCCTCGATAAAATTAGATAAATTATAAAAATAATTTTTCAAAGATAAAAATCTAGAGTTTTTACTATATATAAACGAGAAACTAGAAATTAAAGATTGATCGACATAAGTGATTCGTGTTTTCTAAAAGTTTAGCTTGAAGAGTTCAAAGTGAATCTAATTATCTAGTTCTCGGCGGCGATTATCTGTATATTAATTATATTTTTAAATAAAGTAAACTAATCAATTAAAAAAATATGTTAATTACGGTATTCACTTTTTTCTCTGTTTATTTTTGAAGTAAAGGGATTTAACACAAAATTATTTAATAACAGTTATTTGTAAAGTTCTTTTTTTAATGCTAGTCTAAAAAATTCTATACCGTTTTACAAAAATGTATTATAAAAAAATATAATACTTTCATTAAACGATTTTAGCATTTAACATAAACAATCTCAAGAAAAATATCTTAAATAATAAAAAAAAACGTTAGTCCGACAATAGAAGTTGTTTACACACACTCTGTTGTTTATCGCTCTATATTGAAAAGTCTCTGAACTTAATTGAACTCATGGCGTTAGTTTTTAATCTCAAATTTTGATAAAAGTTTAAAGAAACAAAAACGTTAAATAGAAACAAGTTTTAAAACTTTATTTTGCCAATCAGGTCCTCAGTTCTAGACGACAAACTCTAACCTTTAGCCCTTGAACTTTCTTATTTCTACGACCTGATTAAGCGTAGAGTCAAACCTGACGAAAACATTGACATAGATGTAGTGAAAGCTAAAAGGTTTAACGCGTTAATTATTGTTTTCTTGTAGCCTAATTAGTTTAATTAAACAACACCGTCATCATAGAAAAACTTTGATTGACTGCTTGTGTCGACCCGTTGAGGTCGTTGACCTTCTACATCCATACTGTGGACATTGTGATGTTTTTTTAGGATGTGAGACACATCTTGGATGATTTTTATTCAACACAAATTCTCCTGGTTGTGATGTCATATGATTGGGTGTGTTCCGGTTTCTGACTACTACACACATCGCGTGTTCACGTGATTCTGTTTTCAATGACATCAACACACCAATGTGTAATGACATCGATACATCATCATGTGATGACTTCAACACAGTAAGATGTCGTGACATTCACACGCCGTGTTTAATGACATCAAACTGTGTTTTAGAAAACTAGCCACGTCACACAAACTAAACCAAAAGTTGAAGATTCAACCTATACAATGCATTATAAACTCAAAACCAAACTGCTTTCCTTGTGTAAGTATAATACGTCTTCAATCCCAACCTTACTTTCCCTCTGATATACTCGTTAAGTAATATACGTAATATAATATAATCTCAGCATGTTACAAAATATTTGTACTGTAATTGTTCAAAATTTAAAGGATGAACTTAGATGAGCATAATTGTATTTTTTTTTCCTAATTTTTTTTCCTTGACGTCCTAATTTTTCTACACATTGATTATTTTACTGTGTGGGTCTAATTAATATCTGCTTGTCTGTATTGTTTGTGTGTTTCCAAAAATCTCAATGTTTTTCTTTACCTTTCTCCGGGATTTTTTTCCTGTCTTTTTTTTTCCTTGATTTTACTATATTCTTGATAGAACCAAATCTTGAAAGAATTTAGAAGAATATTGCCCTATCAAAAGTTGACACACCTTTTGAAAACTCTGAATAATTATATTATGTCTAGATATATATATATATAAATGTAGTGTTCTCAAAGTTTCTTAATATATAATTATAGATGGGCTAGAAGCGGGTGTTACCAGCAATATTGATATAGACAGTAATTTTTAATATATACTTTTATAGCTGTATGCATATTTCTGGAAGGTCATATATATATATATATATATATATATATATATATATATATATATATATATATATATATATATATATATATATATATATATATATATATATATATATATATATATATATATATATATATATATATATACTAAAATGTCAACAAGATTCAAATTATATCACTGGAATATTAGCTGAAATACTAGACCTATTTTTTTATCAATCAGTGATTAACTGTATCACACTGTATCACGGTGCATCACCATGTATCACCCTGTATAACCATATTTCACCGTGTATCACCCTGTCTCACGCTGTCTCACCCTGTCTCACCCTGTCTCACCATGTCTCACCCTCTCTCCCCAGATGCCATGGAGGGAGGCTGGGAGTTCGCCAAGCTCAACGACGAGGAGTTCGAAGAGTTCTGCGTCTACATCGTGCAGGACCGGTCATGTGACCCGGTCTGCCACAACCGGGCCCAGGCCTCGTTGCCTAGAAACCTGACCCTCAGGCCGTCCACCATCTGCCCAAACGTGAGTACTAGTTTTGTCCGTCTGTGCACACTCCAGCTGGGGAGAGGCTTACGGGTCGACTTACTTTAATCCCAATGGCAACGAAATTGCTTGAAAACATGTAGTGTAGTATAGAGAGTTGATAGAAAATATGTAGTGTAGTATAGAAAGTTGATAGAAAATATGTAGTGTAGTACAGGAAGTTAGTAGAAAATACGATGTGTAGTACAAAATTTGATAGATCTAGAAAGTAAATACGTAGGGTATTACAGAAATTTGATATACGAAGTGTAGAAAAGAAAATTGATTAAAAAAATAATCCCAGTGGCAACGAAATCGCTTGAAAATATGTAGTTTAGTACAGGAAGTTGGTAGAAAATACGTTGTGTAGTACAAAATTCGATAGATCTAGAAAGTAAATACGTAGGGTATTACAGAAATTTGATTGATATACGAAGTGTAGAAAAGAAAATTGATTTAAAAAAATAACTAACCCGGTACAGAAAGGTGATTAAAAGTACGTAGTGTAGTACAGAAAGTTGATAGTAAATATGTAATGTAGTACAGAAAGTTGATAGATAATATGTAGTGTAGTACATGAAATTAATAAAAAAATAAGCACTCAAGAACAGAAAGTTGATAGAAAGTACGTAAAAACACAAAGCATTGCACAGAAGGTTGACAAAAAAAAAACTCACACAAATGCACGTGCTTATCGTCAGTGCACGTGACCTTCACGCGGTGAGTACCTGTCTTGTGTCGCAGACGACAGCTTCAAAAAGCCCCCCCCCCCTCTTGGACAGGAGTTGATATCTGCCCGCGTCAAATCTCGCCTGGGAAAATTCGCGAAGCGAAATAATTTTTTTCGCAAACAAGCCTTGCCGGAATGGAGTGTGGGTGGGGATAGGAATATAAAATGTTTTAGAATTGGGATTTTTATTTTTCACAAACAAGTCTTATGTAGGGGGAAGGGGACGGGGGGTGGGGTTGAAAATGAAGAAAAGTTTTAACGCTGTCAAAAACAGTAGGGTGTTTAAAAGTGGGAGGGCGTATAGTTAGATATGTTGTTTTTTTTAAACGGTAAACTGCCGCTCACCTACAACTCATGCTCCCCACCCCCTCCCCCCCTTCCCTCCCCACACACACCTCCCATCAGCGCGCGTGCATTAACCCCCAACGGCTCCTTGTTGACCCAGCCCAAACAGACACCTAATGGTTTTCACTTTATTTGTTGGTGAGTAATTGTTTTACAACAGACCGCGAGTGAAACTCACGCGCCGATTCGCGCATTAATGACCAACCAAACAATGGCCCGGGCCCCGCGATAAAAACCACTTGCTCACGGCTCCCGTTAGGCCGTGGCCCGGGCTCTCTCTTTACCCCCCCGGCGGAGATACCCCGGGGGAGGGGGGGTGGGCGTTACCGGGAGTTGTTTTAATTTGTACTTAAACTGTTTGCGCTTGTGTTGAATATCAGAAACTTCTATCACGTTCGCCGTAAAAAAAAAAAAAATGTCGTGAACAAACAGAAGACTACAATGAGCCGCTAATAAAACAGTGGTAAAACAATGTTAGAAAACCCGTCATAATCACTTCTCTCCCCCTCCCCCCTAACCCCGACCCCACAGCTTTTTTTTTTTATTTCGACTCATGGTCGATCTGGTCAAACAATCCGGTCGAGGGGCGACTGTTAGCTTTGCGATAACGTCGAGTAGAAAATGAACTTTTCAGCGACCAAGTCGGACAACTCCGAACAGGCAAACTAAGGGAGCTAATAGCATAGTTCGTCGACGCGGAGATCAAGTGATCTAAGTTGTTTTTATATCTGAAATCACGTGGATCACTACACATTTTAAAGAAAAAAAATAACTGGTTGTGACAGTTTGATTGTAAAATTGACACCGAGATGTGCGTTAGTACTGGGAATTATCAACACTGAGAGTTGTTGGCCCTGAGAGATGGAATAAAAGCATGGATTTCTAATGTGTTGATGAACTCTTACTAACAACATCACCCACAGAGGGTGAGGAAGTTATGGGGGGGGGGGGGGGTCGTAGAGCATAAAATATATACCGTAACGGTTCTGCATGGTCGAACACATTAGAGCATGTAAACACTGTATCAAACTGTCCCTTCTAAGCTGCGCGGCCGCGCAGTAGTTGTAAACCCGCCGCGCAGTCACTTTTGTAAAACACATATACCCTTGTGGCATTACTTCAGAGTACCACGCACACAAAATACGTGCAGCGTAAGAGCTTTTACTCCTTAGGGGTGAATGTTATTTAGGACCTAAGACTTGATTTCTTGTCTAGTGACCGCACTATCTGAGACTAGGCACCCAGGATATGCCCTGCTAAACAGTTAGTGCAGGATCTGCCCTGCTAAACCCTTAGTCCAGGATCTGCCCTGCTAAACCCTTAGTCCAGGATATGCCCTGCTAAACCCTTAGTCTCTGCCCTGCTAAACCCTTAGTCTCTGCCCTGCTAAACCCTTAGTCCAAGATCTGCCCTGCTAAACCCTTAGTCCAGGATCTGCCCTGCTAAACCCTTAGTCCAGGATCTGCCCTGCTAAACCCTTAGTCCAGGATCTGCCCTGCTAAACCCTTAGTCTAGGATCTGCTCCGTTGCAGGTCCAAACTACGAAATTAAAACAAAAGTCTTAACAGACTAACCAGGACAGACAATGGTGTGTGTGTGTGTGTGTGTGTGTGTGGAAGAAGATAAAGAGATATCCCCCTCCCCCTTTACTGCATTGACACCCGGGGTGGCATCCCCCTCCAGGGGCTTACCTGGCTTTCCCACCTCGCCAAGAGAGGGTTGGTGAGTTTAGACCAAAGCCTAACACAACGGCACAAGTGCCCGGTGGGGGTGGGGGAGGGGGGGGGGTTAGAAGAGACGGCCCCAAGTGGTATCTCCAGAGATTGATAAATTCACACCCGTCGGCTTAAAGTTGTCGGGGTAATGTCGAACTCAGGGACAGACCTTCGGAAATCATGGGGGTTTGTTTGTGGGTCGGGGGGGGGGGGGGGGGGGGTTCCAAACTTCGAGTAGGAGACATTTTATTTTTGTTTAAAGATTAGAGAGAACTCCCGTGGTGTCATCTAGAGTTGTCTGCCCAGTCATGTTATACCTCGGCTTCGCTTTCTACCTGGCGAAAAAAAAAACACAATATAACAGGTGCGCATGCGCTGGTCGGTGTCGCATAGGTGTAGCACACCAACGCCGCTATGGCGTGGACGCATCACAACAGCGGAGCTATGGCATAGCACGGCAGCAATCACATGGACGTACAATATCTATGTAGCTATGGCAACGGCGTATCATGACCGTACTGCCTTGACATAGACTTATTGCTACAAACGCGGCTGTAACACTGGCGTCTCTCGACAATACAGCTATGACTTTATAACACTGGCGTCTCTCGGCAATACAGTTATGACTTTATATAGCGGTATAACAATAATATAAGCTTGACTTATATGTACCACTTTTACGAAGCAATGGAAGTCGACGTAGACGGGTCGGGTTTGCGCATTGTAAAGCTAAATCTTGAGTTCGAACACTCGGTCAGATGAGGCTTGAAATGGATGGGAGACTAATTATGAGACACAATTGTTCAACCTAAAAAGTAAATTACTCTAGATAGTTTCAAATATATTTACGATTTAATTCAAGTTCACTCTGGGGTCTTTTCTCTGAAATATACTATCACAAAAAGCCAAAAATATTCAATTTGCGGTTTAATTAACTTCACTCTGAAGTCTTAACTTAGATATATACTACCACAAAAAGTTTTTATGTATACTACAATATCAAATCTTATAAACAACATGTTTTTATTCTTACTTCGAATATCGTATCGTAATATTTAGTTATCTCCCCTTAACAATAAATTTGTGTGTGTAGCATTAGTTTCAATTTTATCTTCGTAAACACTGAAGGGAAACAATCACACACAGCTACCGAGGTTTCTTAAATTTTCAATTTAAAATTTCTCCCAGATATTAATCATGGCTGGTAGAAAGGGAATGTGGAAAAAATAATATTATTTTCCCCCAATCTCGTTTAATCCTTTAATCCCGTTGATCTTAGATAATCTTATTAAATAGATTTTTCTCGCTCCGTGTGCAACCCTGTCCTCCCAAGTTAGAGTTTGGTATGTTGGAAATACTGATATAGGGGTCTGAAGGGGTTCATGTACAGGGACAGGAGGGGGGGTCTTAGAGGTTGGGGGGGTCTTAAGGTGGGGTGGGGGACAACAATGGTATGTGACAAAGCAACATTGCTTATATCCGTATTGGGGCTCCACAACAGCAGACCGTGTGAGAGTAAACATCGTAGAAATCTATCATGAGGTCCACAAGAGACGGAGCCTGGCGCCCATTATGGTAGGTGAAGTAGAGTTCATCTGTTCTTGTGAACCTCGGTACATAATGGAATAGTGCGATCAGTCATTGCGTGAGATATAGAGCCTTCCCATCGAAACGGGCTGGACTCAGGCACGTGATCTCAACTCGATACCAGAGTTTCTTTCAGTATCAGGCATCTCCCAGTAACCCCCCCCCCCCTTTCCGTCTACCTCCCTTTCTCCCTGGACGGAATAAAAAAAGTTTACAATTTTACATAAAAAATATATACCGATGTCCACTCTGCCCCCGGAAATTTTAAGTGCGCACCCTCCACCCATCGGAAGTTTCCAGCCGAGTTTCTTCCAGGCATCTCTTTGGGGGGTGGGGGCGGAAGAAAGTCTACCGCCCACCCCCCTCCCGAACGAAATGGAATTTATATAGGAAATATATACTTTTAACAGTGTCGTCGTGTCTCCCCCCCCCCCCCTCCCCTAAAATTTCAAGTGCACCCCCGGAGAAAAAAGTCTGGAGAAAAAAACTGGTTTCAAGTTCCTTCGCCCCTATACGAACAATGTCTGAAAACAATCCCTGATCGATACTTTCAGGATAGCATGCAAATGATCTAACTACAGACCACACCACGCCACATTAATATACCAAAAAAAATCCTTAAA